AGCAAATTCAAGTTCAATTGCTGAGAGGAAGTCATTACTTCCTAACTCAATTCAGACTACTCTCTCTCATGTGTTTTAATATTTTCCCATTTCGGGATAGCGGGAAATTATCAAACAATGTCAATGACTACTCATTAGTTGTAAAGGTAGCCTGAGACAAGTTGGGATAAAGCAGTCACCTTAAAACCGAAATTAATTTTTCTAAAATATTTGGATACATAGAACACATTGACTTTAAATCGGATTCAATAACTTCCAAATAAAATTCCTTCTATTAAATCAGTTACTTTGCATCTCCTCAAAAAAACGTATTTAGCTTGACTTTTGATTTCTGATGAGAATATAGTTTGAATTTCCCACAAATTGAATTCCAATAGATAAACAAGCTCCCGATAACAGAAGAATTAGACAGTTGTCTATTTTCTGTTTATTTATTCAAATTTAAAGAAAAATGTAATTTGGTTTGCTTTCCTTAATTTTACCTTATATTCGTAACTAACATAAAAATAACGCATGTCCTGTAATATGACAAGCCTAAATGAACAGATTGCAAAATGTTTAGTACTTTATAAAATTCACCCTAAGCTCATTATGAATGTACATTGTGGGATATTTAAATGAATGGGAACAAGCAAAAACACACACAGAGAGAAGCTCAGCGTTGAGGAAACAACCTGAGTGCATTTGTCACTCTCATACATTCCTCAGGGAAGGTCTGAGATTAGAGCCATCTATTGTCTTAACAAGGCATTGCTTGGTTTGAGCAAATGAGTTACCATCAAACCTTGTCTGTTGTCACTAGACTGCACAAGAAATAGAAGTGGTTTTCCTCTATGGATGCTGAGGCAACTGATTTGGAAAGTGACTCATGACTAGCAAATTCAAGTTCAATTGCTGAGAGGAAGTCATTACTTCCTAACTCAATTCAGACTACTCTCTCTCATGTGTTTTAATATTTTCCCATTTCGGGATAGCGGGAAATTATCAAACAATGTCAATGACTACTCATTAGTTGTAAAGGTAGCCTGAGACAAGTTGGGATAAAGCAGTCACCTTAAAACCGAAATTAATTTTTCTAAAATATTTGGATACATAGAACACATTGACTTTAAATCGGATTCAATAACTTCCAAATAAAATTCCTTCTATTAAATCAGTTACTTTGCATCTCCTCAAAAAAACATATTTAGCTTGACTTTTGATTTCTGATGAGAATATAGTTTGAATTTCCCACAAATTGAATTCCAATAGATAAACAGGCTCCTGATAACAGAAGAATTAGACAGTTGTCTATTTTCTGTTTATTCAAATTTAAAGAAAAATGTAAATTGGTTTGCTTTCCTGAATTTTACCTTATATTCGTAACTAACATAAAAATAACGCATGTCCTGTAATATGACAAGCCTAAATGAACAGATTGCAAAATGTTTAGTACTTTATAAAATTCACCCTAAGCTCATTATGAATGTACATTGTGGGATATTTAAATGAATGGGAACAAGCAAAAACATACACAGAGAGAAGCTCAGCGTTGAGGAAACAACCTGAGTGCATTTGTCACTCTCATACATTTCTCAGGGAAGGTCTGAGATTAGAGCCATCTATTGTCTTAACAAGGCATTGCTTGGTTTGAGCAAATGAGTTACCATCAAACCTTGGTCTGTTGTCACTAGACTGCACAAGACATAGAAGTGGTTTTCCTCTATGGATGCTGAGGCAACTGATTTGGAAAGTGACTCATGGCTAGCAAATTCAAGTTCAATTGCTGAGAGGAAGTCATTACTTCCTAACTCAATTCAGACTACTCTCTCTCATGTGTTTTAATATTTTCCCATTTCGGGATAGCGGGAAATTATCAAACAATGTCAATGACTACTCATTAGTTGTAAAGGTAGCCTGAGACAAGTTGGGATAAAGCAGTCACCTTAAAACCGAAATTAATTTTTCTAAAATATTTGGATACATAGAACACATTGACTTTAAATCGGATTCAATAACTTCCAAATAAAATTCCTTCTATTAAATCAGTTACTTTGCATCTCCTCAAAAAAACGTATTTAGCTTGACTTTTGATTTCTGATGAGAATATAGTTTGAATTTCCCACAAATTGAATTCCAATAGATAAACAAGCTCCCGATAACAGAAGAATTAGACAGTTGTCTATTTTCTGTTTATTTATTCAAATTTAAAGAAAAATGTAATTTGGTTTGCTTTCCTTAATTTTACCTTATATTCGTAACTAACATAAAAATAACGCATGTCCTGTAATATGACAAGCCTAAATGAACAGATTGCAAAATGTTTAGTACTTTATAAAATTCACCCTAAGCTCATTATGAATGTACATTGTGGGATATTTAAATGAATGGGAACAAGCAAAAACACACACAGAGAGAAGCTCAGCGTTGAGGAAACAACCTGAGTGCATTTGTCACTCTCATACATTCCTCAGGGAAGGTCTGAGATTAGAGCCATCTATTGTCTTAACAAGGCATTGCTTGGTTTGAGCAAATGAGTTACCATCAAACCTTGGTCTGTTGTCACTAGACTGCACAAGACATAGAAGTGGTTTTCCTCTATGGATGCTGAGGCAACTGATTTGGAAAGTGACTCATGGCTAGCAAATTCAAGTTCAATTGCTGAGAGGAAGTCATTACTTCCTAACTCAATTCAGACTACTCTCTCTCATGTGTTTTAATATTTTCACATTTCGGATAGCGGGAAATTATCAAACAATGTCAATGACTACTCATTAGTTGTAAAGGTAGCCTGAGACAAGTTGGGATAAAGCAGTCACCTTAAAACCGAAATTAATTTTTCTAAAATATTTGGATACATAGAACACATTGACTTTAAATCGGATTCAATAACTTCCAAATAAAATTCCTTCTATTAAATCAGTTACTTTGCATCTCCTCAAAAAAACATATTTAGCTTGACTTTTGATTTCTGATGAGAATATAGTTTGAATTTCCCACAAATTGAATTCCAATAGATAAACAAGCTCCCGATAACAGAAGAATTAGACAGTTGTCTATTTTCTGTTTATTTATTCAAATTTAAAGAAAAATGTAATTTGGTTTGCTTTCCTTAATTTTACCTTATATTCGTAACTAACATAAAAATAACGCATGTCCTGTAATATGACAAGCCTAAATGAACAGATTGCAAAATGTTTAGTACTTTATAAAATTCACCCTAAGCTCATTATGAATGTACATTGTGGGATATTTAAATGAATGGGAACAAGCAAAAACACACACAGAGAGAAGCTCAGCATTGAGGAAACAACCTGAGTGCATTTGTCACTCTCATACATTCCTCAGGGAAGGTCTGAGATTAGAGCCATCTATTGTCTTAACAAGGCATTGCTTGGTTTGAGCAAATGAGTTACCATCAAACCTTGGTCTGTTGTCACTAGACTGCACAAGACATAGAAGTGGTTTTCCTCTATGGATGCTGAGGCAACTGATTTGGAAAGTGACTCATGGCTAGCAAATTCAAGTTCAATTGCTGAGAGGAAGTCATTACTTCCTAACTCAATTCAGACTACTCTCTCTCATGTGTTTTAATATTTTCCCATTTCGGGATAGCGGGAAATTATCAAACAATGTCAATGACTACTCATTAGTTGTAAAGGTAGCCTGAGACAAGTTGGGATAAAGCAGTCACCTTAAAACCGAAATTAATTTTTCTAAAATATTTGGATACATAGAACACATTGACTTTAAATCGGATTCAATAACTTCCAAATAAAATTCTTCTATTAAATCAGTTACTTTGCATCTCCTCAAAAAAACGTATTTAGCTTGACTTTTGATTTCTGATGAGAATATAGTTTGTATTTCCCACAAATTGAATTCCAATAGATAAACAGGCTCCCGATAACAGAAGAATTAGACAGTTGTCTATTTTCTGTTTATTTATTCAAATTTAAAGAAAAATGTAATTTGGTTTGCTTTCCTTAATTTGACCTTATATTCGTAACCAACATAAAAATAACGCATGTCCTGTAATATGACAAGTCTAAATGAACAGATTGCAAAATGTTTAGTACTTTATAAAATTCACCCTAAGCTCATTATGAATGTACATTGTGGGATATTTAAATGAATGGGAACAAGCAAAAACACACACAGAGAGAAGCTCAGCGTTGAGGAAACAACCTGAGTGCATTTGTCACTCTCATACATTCTCAGGGAAGGTCTGAGATTAGAGCCATCTATTGTCTTAACAAGGCATTGCTTGGTTTGAGCAAATGAGTTACCATCAAACCTTGGTCTGTTGTCACTAGACTGCACAAGACATAGAAGTGGTTTTCCTCTATGGATGCTGAGGCAACTGATTTGGAAAGTGACTCATGGCTAGCAAATTCAAGTTCAATTGCTGAGAGGAAGTCATTACTTCCTAACTCAATTCAGACTACTCTCTCTCATGTGTTTTAATATTTTCACATTTCGGGATAGCGGGAAATTATCAAACAAGGTTAACTCATTAGTTGTAAAGGTAGCCTGAGACAAGTTGGGATAAAGCAGTCACCTTAAAACCGAAATAAATTTTTCTAAAATATTTGGATACATAGAACACATTGACTTTAAATCGGATTCAATAACTTCCAAATAAAATTCCTTCTATTAAATCAGTTACTTTGCATCTCCTCAAAAAAACGTATTTAGCTTGACTTTTGATTTCTATGAGAATATAGTTTGAATTTCCCACAAATTGAATTCCAATAGATAAACAAGCTCCCGATAACAGAAGAATTAGACAGTTGTCTGTTTTCTGTTTATTTATTCAAATTTAAAGAAAAATGTAATTTGGTTTGCTTTCCTTAATTTTACCTTATATTCGTAACTAACATAAAAATAACGCATGTCCTGTAATATGACAAGTCTAAATGAACAGATTGCAAAATGTTTAGTACTTTATAAAATTCACCCTAAGCTCATTATGAATGTACATTGTGGGATATTTAAATGAATGAGAACAAGCAAAAACAAACAGAAAGAAGCTTAGTGTTGAGGAAACTACCTGAGTGCATTTGTCACTCTCATACATTCCTCAGGGAAGGTCTGAGATTAGAGCCATCTAATGTCCTAACAAGCCATTGATTGGTTAGAGCAAATGAGTTACCATCAAACCTTGGTCTGTTGTCACTAGACTGCACAAGACATAGAAGTGGTTTTCCTCTATGGATGCTGAGGCAACTGATTTGGAAAGTGACTCATGGCTAGCAAATTCAAGTTCAATTGCTGAGAGGAAGTCATTACTTCCTAACTCAATTCAGACTACTCTCTCTCATGTTTTTTAATATTTTCACATTTCGAGATAGCGGGAAATTATCAAACAATGTCAAGGACTACTCATTAGCTGTAAAGGTTGCCTGAGAGAATTTGGGATAAAGCAGTCACCTTAAAACCGAAATTAATTTTTCTAAAATATTTGGATACATAGAACACATTGACTTTAAATCGGATTCAATAACTTCCAAATAAAATTTCTTCTATTAAATCAGTTACTTTGCATCTCCTCAAAAAAACGTATTTAGCTTGACTTTTGATTTCTGATGAGAATATAGTTTGTATTTCCCACAAATTGAATTCCAATAGATAAACAGGCTCCCGATAACAGAAGAATTAGACAGTTGTCTATTTTCTGTTTATTTATTCAAATTTAAAGAAAAATTTAATTTGGTTTGCGTTCCTTAATTTGACCTTATATTTGTAACCAACATAAAAATAACACATGTCCTGTAATATGACAAGTCTAAATGAACAGATTGCAAAATGTTTAGTACTTTATAAAATTCACCCCAAGCTCATTATGAATGTACATTGTGGGATATTTAAATGAATGGGAACAAGCAAAAACACACACAGAGAGAAGCTCAGCGTTGAGGAAACAACCTGAGTGCATTTGTCACTCTCATACATTCCTCAGAGAAGGTCTGAGATTAGAGCCATCCATTGTCTAAACAAGGCATTGCTTGGTTTGAGCAAATGAGTTACCATCAAACCTTGGTCTGTTGTCACTAGACTGCACAAGACATAGAAGTGGTTTTCCTCTATGGATGCTGAGGCAACTGATTTGGAAAGTGACTCATGGCTAGCAAATTCAAGTTCAATTGCTGAGAGGAAGTCATTACTTCCTAACTCAATTCAGACTACTCTCTCTCATGTGTTTTAATATTTTCCCATTTCGGGATAGCGGGAAATTATCAAACAAGGTTAATGACTACTCATTAGTTGTAAAGGTAGCCTGAGACAAGTTGGGATAAAGCAGTCACCTTAAAACCGAAATAAATTTTTCTAAAATATTTGGATACATAGAACACATTGACTTTAAATCGGATTCAATAACTTCCAAATAAAATTCCTTCTATTAAATCAGTTACTTTGCATCTCCTCAAAAAAACGTATTTAGCTTGACTTTTGATTTAAGATGAGGATATAGTTTGAATTTCCCACAAATTGAATTCCTATAGATAAACAAGCTCCCGATAACAGAAGAATTAGACAGTTGTCTATTTTCTGTTTATTTATTCAAATTTAAAGAAAAATTTAATTTGGTTTGCGTTCCTTAATTTGACCTTATATTTGTAACCAACATAAAAATAACACATGTCCTGTAATATGACAAGTCTAAATGAACAGATTGCAAAATGTTTAGTACTTTATAAAATTCACCCCAAGCTTATTATGAATGTACATTGTGGGATATTTAAATGAATGGGAACAAGCAAAAACACATACAGAGAGAAGCTCAGCGTTGAGGAAACAACCTGAGTGCATTTGTCACTCTCATACACTCCTCAGAGAAGGTCTGAGATTAGAGCCATCCATTGTCTAAACAAGGCATTTCTTGGTTTGAGCAAATGAGTTACCATCAAACCTTGGTCTGTTGTCACTAGACTGCACAAGACATAGAAGTGGTTTTCCTCTATGGATGCTGAGGCAACTGATTTGGAAAGTGACTCATGGCTAGCAAATTCAAGTTCAATTGCTGAGAGGAAGTCATTACTTCCTAACTCAATTCAGACTACTCTCTCTCATGTGTTTTAATATTTTCCCATTTCGGGATAGCGGGAAATTATCAAACAAGGTTAATGACTACTCATTAGTTGTAAAGGTAGCCTGAGACAAGTTGGGATAAAGCAGTCACCTTAAAACCGAAATTAATTTTTCTAAAATATTTGGATACATAGAACACATTGACTTTAAATCGGATTCAATAACTTCCAAATAAAATTCCTTCTATTAAATCAGTTACTTTGCATCTCCTCAAAAAAACGTATTTAGCTTGACTTTTGATTTCTGATGAGAATATAGTTTGAATTTCCCACAAATTGAATTCCAATAGATAAACAAGCTCCCGATAACAGAAGAATTAGACAGTTGTCTATTTTCTGTTTATTTATTCAAATTTAAAGAAAAATGTAATTTGGTTTGCTTTCCTTAATTTTACCTTATATTCGTAACTAACATAAAAATAACGCATGTCCTGTAATATGACAAGCCTAAATGAACAGATTGCAAAATGTTTAGTACTTTATAAAATTCACCCTAAGCTCATTATGAATGTACATTGTGGGATATTTAAATGAATGGGAACAAGCAAAAACACACACAGAGAGAAGCTCAGCGTTGAGGAAACAACCTGAGTGCATTTGTCACTCTCATACATTCCTCAGGGAAGGTCTGAGATTAGAGCCATCTATTGTCTTAACAAGGCATTGCTTGGTTTGAGCAAATGAGTTACCATCAAACCTTGGTCTGTTGTCACTAGACTGCACAAGACATAGAAGTGGTTTTCCTCTATGGATGCTGAGGCAACTGATTTGGAAAGTGACTCATGGCTAGCAAATTCAAGTTCAATTGCTGAGAGGAAGTCATTACTTCCTAACTCAATTCAGACTACTCTCTCTCATGTGTTTTAATATTTTCCCATTTCGGGATAGCGGGAAATTATCAAACAATGTCAATGACTACTCATTAGTTGTAAAGGTAGCCTGAGACAAGTTGGGATAAAGCAGTCACCTTAAAACCGAAATTAATTTTTCTAAAATATTTGGATACATAGAACACATTGACTTTAAATCGGATTCAATAACTTCCAAATAAAATTCCTTCTATTAAATCAGTTACTTTGCATCTCCTCAAAAAAACGTATTTAGCTTGACTTTTGATTTCTGATGAGAATATAGTTTGAATTTCCCACAAATTGAATTCCAATAGATAAACAAGCTCCCGATAACAGAAGAATTAGACAGTTGTCTATTTTCTGTTTATTTATTCAAATTTAAAGAAAAATTTAATTTGGTTTGCTTTCCTTAATTTGACCTTATATTCGTAACCAACATAAAAATAACACATGTCCTGTAATATGACAAGTCTAAATGAACAGATTGCAAAATGTTTAGTACTTTATAAAATTCACCCTAAGCTCATTATGAATGTACATTGTGGGATATTTAAATGAATGGGAACAAGCAAAAACACACACAGAGAGAAGCTCAGCGTTGAGGAAACAACCTGAGTGCATTTGTCACTCTCATACATTCCTCAGGGAAGGTCTGAGATTAGAGCCATCTATTGTCTTAACAAGGCATTGCTTGGTTTGAGCAAATGAGTTACCATCAAACCTTGGTCTGTTGTCACTAGACTGCACAAGACATAGAAGTGGTTTTCCTCTATGGATGCTGAGGCAACTGATTTGGAAAGTGACTCATGGCTAGCAAATTCAAGTTCAATTGCTGAGAGGAAGTCATTACTTCCTAACTCAATTCAGACTACTCTCTCTCATGTGTTTTAATATTTTCCCATTTCGGGATAGCGGGAAATTATCAAACAATGTCAATGACTACTCATTAGTTGTAAAGGTAGCCTGAGACAATTTGGGATAAAGCAGTCACCTTAAAACCGAAATTAATTTTTCTAAAATATTTGGATACATAGAACACATTGACTTTAAATCGGATTCAATAACTTCCAAATAAAATTCCTTCTATTAAATCAGTTACTTTGCATCTCCTCAAAAAAACGTATTTAGTTTGACTTTTGATTTCTGATGAGAATATAGTTTGAATTTCCCACAAATTGAATTCCAATAGATAAACAAGCTCCCGATAACAGAAGAATTAGACAGTTGTCTATTTTCTGTTTATTTATTCAAATTTAACCCCTTAAGGACACAGCTTCAGAAGCTTGACTTACGCTTAATGACACAAGCAATTTTTGCATTTTCTTGCTGTTTGCGTTCAACTGCAATTTGCATCTCTCTCATTTATTGCACCGACACATATTATATACTGTTTTTAAAGGACAGAAAGGGCTTTAATTTGATATAACATATATATATATAAATGCTTACTTATTATAAAAAAAATACAGAAAAATGCAAAAAAATGAAAAATATTGTTTTTTTTTACAGTTTTTGCAATAATAATGTGTGCATAATTAGTGCAGGTTAAGGAAAGTAATTAAAAATAAATTTATTTATTTGTTCTGATTTACAGAATATATAATGTGTCTGGGATTTTAAGTTTTTTTTGGTAGTTACAGGTCACAAAGCACAAGGAGTAAAATAAAATTTTAATGTGGAGCGATTTTAGAATTTGGTATGTTTGTCTTGTAAGCTTAATAGCCATAAAAGAAAACAAAATTGCCACACAAAAGTATATATTTATATAAAGTAGACATCACGGGCTATTTACCTAAGGTTGTTTTGACACTTTCTACGTAGCCATATTACCGCCAACCTCTGCTAAATATTGGAGTAAAATTGTGTTCTTTTTGGTTTTTGGCACACAAACTTATAACAGAGAAATTCTCGTGTATATTTTGTAAAGTTGGTGTGTGCTATTCCTGTACAAAGTTTTATTTTGTGTTCAGTTACATCTGCTGAGTAAAATGACACCCCCATTGTATGTCTTTTGCACTATTTCGTGAAGTTACAGTGCCATATAGGAGACCTGTCCTTTACAGTATTCACAGTAGAATTTTGAGAGATGGATTTAATGAGCCTTAGCTTCCATTTTGGGGTATTATAACAGTTTGACTGTTCAAAAAAACCCCACAAAGGCCTACCATTTGTAAAAGTAGACACTCCAGGGTATCTTATAAGGTGCATATTGTGCCTTAACATGCCCCCATTTTTTCACCAATATATGCCAAAGTATGTGGTAAAAAAAATTTTGTGCATTTTTTACATACGGATTGCATTTTTGCTGGGCGTTTTGTATATTTCATATGTGCCACTAAGTTCAAACCCCCCAAATTATGCTCAGCTAAGTCTTCTGAGTAAAAT